AAAGTTTCAGCAAATATGACACAACCACTAGAGATTTTATTCTCACTGGATAAAGTTGCCTTCAATTTTTGATGAACTATACAAATAAATGACAAATATTTTTGCGATTTTCTTTTTTTTAAATGCCTAAAAAGGTCATAACATGCAATTTTTTTTTGAAAAAGTGCCATATAATCAGGTATTTTAGGCTCCAACAATCCCAACACACATGATGAAAAAACACTTTCCCAGCATATAAAACATCACATTCTCTCCACTGACAGGACACCACAGAGGACACTTCTGCTGAATTGGTTTCAAACATGTCGGCATCCAAACCACAGCAACTCACATCTGAAGCCTGTGTGTGCAACTGATATAAATATAAAACCTCTGTCCTCAGTGTAGACTTACGGGAATTCACCCGAAAAACGAAACGAAAAAATAAAAAATAAAAAATAAAAAACAAATAAAATGGCAGGCAATAATTCAAAAGCTGTATGTTCTACATGTGTCTTCAAGGCCCAAAAGTCTGCAGTTTTTCATTCAGATCACTGATCTTGAGCCAGAGAGGAGGATGCCTTCAGTCCTCGGGGATCCACACAACAAGATCTTCACAACATCTTGTTGTCCTACAGTGACAGATTGATAGATGTGGCCCCAAGAGAAATTAGATTTGTATTTCATTTTAGAAGTGTTTAACAAAAGTAATAAAAGTGTGATTAGCATCTGGGAATGTTAATGATCCGCTCCAGCTGTAACACACCACTGGCTGTCAGAGAGATAATTAGTAATGGCTCCATCCAGTGGTCTCTACAGCAATACAAATTACACTGATAAAACACATTCAACTTTACTGGAAACAAATTTGATACATGTCAGCCACACACTTTTTATGTAAAGTATATTTTTTTAGTTCTAATGAAGGAAAATCTTTCACACATTTACACATCTTCCACCTTTATTCCGAATCCTGAATTTGATAAGGGTTGTGTGAAAAGAATATTCTGTTTGGATATTCCTAATGGAGCATTTTCTGATGAACACATATGGTAAATGTCGTTATTGTTCAGGTTTTACGGAGCGTTCTTTGGAGTGCATTCAGAATATACGTCTCATTTGGGGTTTTCACTCGGTTTTGCCTTTTACGGTCAGCTCTGTGCGTCGTAAACAAGCCAACACACCAACTGGTAAACATTATAAAAGAGAGGTTTTTGGATACAAGCAAATATCACAATTAGTGTGCATATAGACATAATCATTGGTACAAACTGAACAGGCAACACCATACATATCTGATCAGAACCTAGAAATGTAGAGGCTAGTTTTCCAGCCATGGAAACACCTGAAAATGTATTAAATTAAACCAAATATCCTCAAAATAATGTTGTCCTGGAAAATGTTAATTGTATTTGAGCCCCTTGTTAAGTACTATTGCATGAACCTGGGTGCGTATTGAGTTTGATGCTGTTGATAAAGTCCACGGTTACGACACACACATATAACTGTTGGTGAGCGAGTGCAGTCCTGTATTGTCCTGGAAAAGGATTTCTTAAGAAGTCTGTGAACCCTGTTTTAACCTGCAGATTTGTTTCGTATCAAAACTTGTACATCACCATGTGGAGGCAAAATTTGCATTGGCAGGAGACAAAAGAAAACCAAAGGGAATTATATACAAACATTCATCACAGATCATGAAACAGTAGACGCAGAACTCGAGGTGGAAGGGTTAAAGTTATTTATTTAAGGATAGTTAAATAGAATACATTTCTCACAGACATACTTGTTCCAACACTTATACTGATTTTAAGATTTCTTAAGAAATTCTCCCATTATAACAGTTGACTTCTATCTCCACTGTAGTCTGTGTAAATATTCAGGTTGTCCTAGAGGCTGCAGACAGACATTTTCTTATCTTTAAATGCTGCCACAATGAATTTTCATCAGGCAGTCGGTTTTAATTTCTCAGCACCAAACAAACCTGCTTGTACGGAGCAGGATATTACAAGTCCATTTCTACAAGTAAAATAAAACAAATATGATAAAAAATAGAAGATAATAGATAAATAAAACAATAGTGATATTTCAAAACTTCTCATAACTTCTCAGTCTCATAATTTCAACGTTTTATCTCCTAATTTTGACTTTTATCTTATAATTTAAACCAGAAGGAGTATTTCCAACACATGAGAACACGACTCACAAGTTGTTTGCCATTCTTCTTCTTCCTATGGGATTAACAGCAGACTAGAAGACTTGCTGCCACTGATCTCTTTTGTCCTAGTTGTAAACATTTCACACTTCGTTGTGTCTCCATATTTAAGCATCTGATCATTGTCTTTTCAACGGGAAAAAAAACCCAAAGTCTCAGCAGGTTCTGTCTTTATCTCAGGAAGCGGATACTCATCTTGTGATCGATGTCCACTTTCTCCAGTGACTAAAAACAAAAGAAAAAAAATATTTTTAATAAGTAAAAGTTATAATTATATAAGTTATCTTACATACTTTTCCTACTGTACATGGAGACTTGGAGTGTCTCTTTTAATTCAGTATAATGTATATTCAATATCTGTTGACATTTACAATAGAAAATATATTTGGTAATATTTTAGTACTTAAGTATTTAGAAATTGGTAGTGGTTTGTTTCTGTCAATGTCAGCATTGTCCACGTTCCCCAAACGAAATGCTTGTCCTAAAAATGCTTATTTTTATTTTATACATACTCATATTACCTGAATTAAGTAATTTCTCTGAATTAATGTACTTTATGAATTCTTGCTTTATAACTTCACTATCTCTTTCTATTATTTTCTATTTTCATTCTTTAAAGATGTTTAATGATTTCATCCTCACAGTAACACTTTTACTAAAATAAATGATGAAGGAAAGAAAAGTGTGTTGTCAGGAAAAGATTCTAAACTGAAACAGTCAAAATCTGATTATTATAACCCTCGTTTAGTCGACCCTCTCACCTTTCTGAACTCATCGAAGGAGATGGTGTCGTCTCTGTCCAGGTCGGCCTCCTGGATGGCTCGCTCAGCAATGCTCTGGAGCTGCTCCTCCGTCACCTGCATCCCCAGCATCGCCCGCAACACCTTCACAGTCACAGTCACCAACTGATCAGTAATCACATCAGCATGTCAGCAGATCTCTCAGACTCGCATTTAGGGTAAGGGTAAATTCTGAACCCTTTTTCTATTTACTGGCTCCCTGTTGGTCACATAATTAGTAAAGACAATGTGGTGTTTAATTCTTATGCAAATGATACACAATTATATCTGCCTGATAAGAAAAATGTTCTCTACTCACACCCTCTCACTACCCTGGTACAACAATGGTACAACAATGGTACAATCTGTCATAGAATGAATCGATTGGTGAAATGGTTCGACTACAAAATGATTAAAAAACATTTTCAGTCATTATTTTGTATTATTGACAGAAATGTTGGACAGTTTGATTTAGTCATTTTCTGTTCTTATGGAAACAATGTGATTGTGATTTGTTGAAAAACTCACCTGCCTGCCTGGGACAAGTTTAGGGTTATACAGGTGTGGTGGAGTTTACAAAGGTTATCTACTTATTGTCAGCACAGTATCATTTGGATAGAAGGGAAATGTCAATACACTTGAATTTGTTTTATTACTTGGTATTTCCTTTTCTTACTCTTGGTGTTTATTTATTCCTGCCTCCAGTGTTTCCTCACTGTAAACTGTTTCCTCAGTTTGTGTTTTTATTTAGTGTTTTACTATTTGTGTCACATTTTGCTTGTATGAAAAGTGCTGTACTAATAAAGTCTGACTGATATATGAATGAGAATAGCATAGGTCATTCATTTGGCTCCATCTGGTGGCCAATATGTGGACATGATTTATCCAAACTGGTAAATTATAATATTTATAATATATTACAAACAATTTTAAATTCAACTATGAAGGTTGAGACATTCCTAAATCATTGAAACCTAGATAAGATTGAGGCATTTGGTCAAAAGTCCATATTTCTAAATCTGCCATTAAACTCCAAATATCACTTTTCCTGTAGGGGAAGCCATAACTCTGGGTCTTAAATGTAATCCATTGTAACTTGTTTTGAATTTAAACTGCCCATGTGAGTGACGTGGCAAGATACAAATGTTTTGTTGATGTCGTACCTTTGTTGCATCGCCAAGACTCTGGGAATGTTATAATTATCAGTTCTATTAAATAAATGGAAACCAGTCAGTCTTAAACTGACTTCAGAATGGGAACCATACCATATGAAGTTTGTTTGTGTTTGATTGAAGTTTTTACAGTGTTGCTCAGAGACACAATAATGAGTTACAGACCTGAAGAAGCTCCGCTCTGGAAATCTTTCCATCTCTGTCCTGATCATACATCTGAAAAGCAACTTAACACACAGAAAGACACAATGTGTCATTAGTGGATCAGAAGTCACGTCTATTGGTGAAAAGCTGAAGCAGAACAAACCAAACTGGACTAACATTTGAGCTTCCTGATGCTGCTGTTGGCCGGTTCCTGCTGGGCTCCGTCTCTGGATCGGTTTCTGTCTGTGGGACGGAAATGAGCCAGAATCCGAACGAAGGAGGCAAAGTCCACAGTTTCCTGCCTGGAGAGAGTGAGAGGAAAGGGAAATGTTTCCTGTTTCCTGTTCATAGTTAGTTACTAACAAACACAGGATGAACATTAAACTGCTATAAAATATAGCTGCTGCCAAACCCTCATTACTCCAGTTCTGTTACAGTTTGTCAAATGAATGATTTAATGTTTCTCTGTATTTACAAAAGTAATTAAAACATTTCAACATCATACTGTACTTTTTAGATACAGGGCATATATCAGTACAGTACTGAGGTCTGTATTGTCTATTTGATTCATATAATAGTAACAATAGTGATATTCATATTAACTTTATTTAAGTTTTACTAATAAAACCTTGCCGTATTTCTTGAACACAGTATTCATTTCTGATTTTGGGAGGTATCTTCAGACATTGGATTCTTCCATAAACTGCCTACGAGCAGCGGTAGTGGTGGCAGTAGCAGATGCAGCAATCACATGTAAATATTGTAGTTTAATAGTTCCCGATTCCCGATAGTCTAGAAAGAGAAACATTTGCAGGTTGCTGTACCGCGGAGAGAAAAAGGCGCTGATGATTCTGTCACCGATCGGATTCAGGGCCAACTCCCGAACGGCTACGAAATCCTGAGGCCTGAGACACACAGAGAAAAGCTTTTAGTACGTTAATATACCACTGAAAATAAAATGACACAATACAATTCAACATCATCTCAAATTATTGCTGAGCTGAACCATCACCTCTTTAAAACTGAACATTAAAAGCTTTATTAAGTTAAACATTTATGTATTTATACCGCTCAGATGATACTGGCTTATTGCAGACATATCGGCATTGGTATATATGTTATCCAATATGCACCAATAGGAATAGAATTGGTTTACAATGTATATGTTAAATTATTATTAAATATACATTTTTGGCCTTTTGTTGCCTTTAATGGATAGTGAAAGCTGAAGACAGACAGGAAGTGTGGGGCAGAGAAAGAGGATGACACACAGCAAAGGGCTGCAGGTTGGATTTGAACCCTGGGCCGCTGCAGTAACTCCATACATGGGTCACCAGCTCTACCAACTGAGCTAACTGGGCACCCTATATGTTACATTATATTATTATATACATTAAACATATTTGTTTTGTAAAGCAGCCTTCTGAGTACCTTTGTAGAGTCATATCACTGGTTGCACAATTAACATAGAAAATGTTTATTTTCATTCCCTGCTTGAATGATGATCCTGACAAAATGTAGAAATATGTATGTTTTTTTCACCTTTTCTTGAATCATAAACACAGGAAAGAAAACAGTTTATATCAGACACATGGTTTTAGCCTTGATGCACAAGTGTTTTCACCATCAAATCAGTGAGAATTTAAACATCCTGAAAGAAACTTTCATTTTCTGGTTAGAAACCATAGAAATCTGAGAAACACCTTATTACATAACGTCTGGCAGCTCCGACTCTCTCCATCAGACAACATCTGTTCAGACTATAAACCTCCTCATCAGAGCAGACATCCTTCCCACAATCGAATGGGAATAATAATAATAATACAGTTTAACACACAAACTTGAACATGAACTATTTTCCTGTTTACTGATTGGTTGGTAGATCCACCAACCTGAGCTGTCCACTCTTGTCTTTGTCCAGAAGCTTAAACCTCTCGTACAGACGGAGGATGTGGGCAGCAGAGACTGAAACACAGAGAACGTTTGATTGATTACAGACTAATCAATGATCCATCATGTCAGTAGATTAGTCAGATTAGTCGGAACATGTTTCACCATCAAAAGCTTAAAGGTTCAATATGCAAGATATATGCATTTTCCGCATTATTCACAATTCCTTTTATTTTGTTGTAATATAATAAATTGGACTGATTTATATAGCTATCTATACATCTATAAATATATACATATAAATATATGTCTATGTATAATATATATATATATATGCACTAATTTACCAAGACAAATTACTTTTATGTGAAAACTTACTTGGCAATAAATCTGATTCTGATGTAGCGATGTGGGTTAGATTGTTCACAAAAATCCAAAGGATGTGACATTTATGCTTGTTCCCGAATGCAGTGTGCAACAATAGCTAACGTTAGTCTATAAAAGGAGTCTACAAACGACAAATCGTGACTCGAGACTTCACAAGTCTAATCTCAACTTCACTGACTTTCTCTTGTTTACATTCAGCAAACACAGCAGAGGACATTAATTCTTCCTTCTCATTTATTCTACTTAAAACTTTAAAACCACAGGAGGTTTTTAGTCAGTTTAACCGATTTAATTTGAGCTATTTGACATTTCAAAGTATATACCTTGTCAAACACATAGTGTGTACATACATAGTCACTACTATTGTGGTCTTTGTTTCCAACTGCTTTTAAAATTCTACCTCAAGTTTTTAGTAAAGTCATTGAGTGCCTTTGTTATGAGCAGGGACCATTTTAAAAATCTTTATTGGTGGTCTGTACACAACGAAAATAAGTTGTTTTTTTTTCGACATTTATGGCCAAGTACAGTATAGTGAAGAATATTAACTTCAATTTGACTTTGATTTGAATTTTTGCACCACTGAAGACGAACACTTGCAGCTGCAGTGAACTGGTTAAACAGTGAAGAATCTCCAGTGTCTGTATCAGTGAGGACAGTTCAGGGTGTTCACACACAAACTGAGATAAACAGCAGATGAAATAACACAGATGAGTTTAACAACACTGACTGTGCTGCTATCAGAGCGCTCAGACTACCGCAGTAATATATTTGTTAATAATTTGTGGGGTCCCTGTAAAACTGTTGGTCCTCACAAGTACAGTGTGCGCACAGATGCACACTTTGTGTCTCTAAAATCTTATCAAAAGTGAGCTTGACTGTTCTTTTTTGACCTTGGCAACAGCTGCAATAACAGTCTCCACTCAAGGTCCACTTACTCACACAGTTAACACACTCTTCTTCAGCAGATGAAGTTTGCTAATAGATGTTCAAACTGTAAGTGATGTTTCACTCAATGTCAGACTGCAGATAGACTCTCAGTTCATAAACCAGTCTGTGAATGATTTCTACATGTGAATAAACAGCAATTAAACGCTTCACAACAAACTGTATAATGTATTTGTGAATAATCATATGTCGTTAAACAAATGTGTAACTGTGTAAAAGTGTATTGTAATTAAAGGAGATTAATTACAGCAGGAAACCTTCTTTCTGTCAGCGGTGGCTTCATGCTTCACAGCTTCACTGCTGGCTCATCAGAGTTTGTTTCATTAATTAAAACCCCTCAAACTTTAAGATTAAGGTCAAATATAAATGGAATCAGTATCTTTAGCAAATAACTCAAAAAGAGCGTTTTGAGTTAAAAGGGGTTTTAATATTTTGAAAATGATTCCTGAAGTCTGTTCTTTCAGTAGCTGTTCCTTGTCTAAGATTTCTCAAAAACAAACTGAACTCACAGCCAGTTTCCTGCATGAGCTCCTGGGCGTGGGGGATGTTGTTCACGCTGGAGCTGCTGGAGCCCATCCTGCTGGTTTTAATCTGCTCCAGGCTGCAGTTTGTCGTCTGCAGTGTGTGATTGAGCTGTCCGACTGTATCTGTCCGTCTGCAGCCTGCTCAGTATCTCCACTGACAGGGTTGCTCAGCCAATCACTACTCAGCTCACAGGCTCGCACCAACCAATGAGCTTCCTTGACCTGTCAGACACTGTGCGCCAGTCTGTGATATTATATGTGGGGACTTAATGATTCCGGATTTTTATTAGATTTTTATTTTATATAAATCGCATTGATCCAACATAAGAGGGAAACAACATGATCTGCAAATAATCTCTCTAAAAGTAATAATTGGCTAATTTTCTTTGTGCATTTTGTACATAAGAGATAATTAAATAATTAACGTATGCAGTGGTGGAGGAACTGAGATCCTTTTCTTTAAAACATTCTGTGTTGATTCTGGCGGCATAAATAAAACTATATAGAAAATATCCAAGTCTTGTTTGTTTATGTCGGTCATACAGAGCAGCGTTTCCCAACCTAGGGGTCGAGACCCCACTAGTTAGTGATGTGACTAATTATAAAACATAAACATTGTCATATTATACTTCATTATAAAATACATGTTGTCAACCTTGAGATAACCCTATGCTGTTTTTTTCTTGGTCTGTCTTTAGCTGTACTTTTTAAATATAATTTATTTTGGCGTCCTGTTGGTGGAATTTATTTTAATTGTATTCACTGCTTATTGTAAATATAATGGCTTTTGCACCTCCCTTTCCCTGATATTTAAACTGAACTCTGTGGGTTGCTCTTTTTCCTTATTCATATGTTGTGTATTTATTTTTTACTGTTTTTCCCTCCAAATGATTTTTTTCTGTTAACTTGTTTGTTTGTTAGGAACCAGAGGTCGAAGAAGCAGCTCGGGGTTGGTGGGCTGAGGGGAATCCTGGTGTTCATTACCTTTATTGTATTTCTGCATTTCGAATGGAAACATCAATAAAGTGGAGCCGGTTATAGTGACTCAGGAGAACACACAGGCTGTACCTCAGTGTGCTGAGCGGTTTATTAAGGATACAGCAGCCTCCCCACTGATTCACTGACTGCACACTGTCAGTCCACTGACACAAGGTGGAGCCATTTCCACATAAATACACACCGTCCTATGTCCTCATGACAAGTTGGTCCTCAGTGTTTCCTCATTAAACAGTGTATAAACTCTAGAGCTATGTTCTATTTGTAGTTGAGTTGTGTTCTTACATTATCCCAAATGTTTCCAACAAGTTAGTTTTAGCCTCAGTCTGTCAGCTGTTATCCAGTTTGAAGCCACATTTTAACCAACAGCAAAACCCAGTACCTCCAAACTCTCAACAACAGCCAACCCATTATTCCAATTCTTTTCAACAAAACCACCAGCAACCCAGTACCCAAACACAGCACCAAGTACCTCCAAAACCTCCAAAACCAACAGCAAACCCCAGTAACCTCCAAACCCCCACAAACCACAAAGCAAACCCCAGTAACCTCCAACCCCAAAAAACCACAGCACCCAGTTACCTCCCAAAACTCCCCACAAACCACAAGCAACCCAGTACCTTCCCAAAACCTTCAAAACCACAAGCACCCAGTTACCTCCAAAACCTCCACAACCAAAACAGCGGCAACCCAGTACTTTTCCCAACCTCCACAACCACAGCACCCAAGTACCTCCAAACCTTTTCCTCAACCACAAGAACCCAGTACCTCCAATCCCCCCAACAAATTCAAG